GTAAAAGTCACCCATGAATTCAATTTGTGCTTTTTGGAAACCACATCTGTATGGTTAGGGGTCTACCATCTCCAGAGTGAGGGACTACAAGCCCTAGCCGCATTCACCAGCAGGATGAGCAAGGAGCATTTGTATCTACCCCAAGATAGGGAAAATAGATGTAAAAGCAGCTGGTTGGACACCAAGGTGGATGTCAGTTATTCTATAAATATAACCGCTGACTTTTTCCTAAAAGGGCCTTAGAAATGGGAAATGCCAACAAATATGAAGGTGTGCCCTCCTGTGCACATCTCCAGCAGCAAGCAGGTATCTGTGAGTACATGATATGAATGAGTTTGAAGGTACAGTACCATCGAGTCAAAGTTTCATATCCAGTCTCTTGAAGTCTGATGGAAGTGATGTGAAAAATACAAATTATCTCTCTGTTCTGGGATGAACCTGGTCTGTAAAACTTCAAAAGGAAAGGTGGGCAATACTGGTTTGGGGGGCAGTTTAGGAGGGAGTAACTAAGAAAGGGTATGATGAATCGCGCCTTTGTCTTTACATCGCTTTTCAAATGGAGTAACGGGATAGGAGCAGTCACAATCTTGCTTAAAGTGGTCAAACAATGAGACAACTGTAATAGCTTCCATCGGGACAGGGGGGATTCCTCATGGAAGAGAGTTCAGAAAGTGGTGGATCTTTGTTGCGAGATAAAAAAAAAGTTTAGGACTCCCTAGTACAGGAGTCATGCTCGTGGCAACATCATTTGGAACAAATACGAGGTCAGTGGAGTGAGCCACTTTCAAGGTAGGGCCTTATAGTAGGGTGGGCATACAGTGGTTTAAGGTGCAGTTTTGAAAGCCAGAGTAACCAGTTAAGGGAAGCGGAGTGGACGCTTGTTCAGGGGCGAACTGTAATTTATTGCCTGAGTGTCTGCGCCATTCTAACACCCTAGCAAGGCGCGTTGGCCTATTGAACAGGATCTGGGAACCCCATTTCACCGTGTAGTTTGAAGTATGAAAGAAGACACTAATCCAATCTAGGAGGTTTTTGGGCCCATGCAAAATTATAGAAATCTATTTGAAATTTCATGAGAAATCTGGGTTTGAAATTAAGTAAACGTGGCAAAATGTTCATCCTAAGTATGGCATTTCTGCCAAACCAAGTGTCCTAATGTCACTTACGTAGATCCATCCTAATGGTACAAAGTAAGGCAATACAATTTGTCTCGTACAGATTTTGCAGATGGGAGTGATTTTGGTACCTAACTAAAGCTGGGCACACATGACCGCAATGCCGAACGGGCAGTGTGCTTTTATCTTACGAACATGCTACACACCCGCCGAAAATTGTACGATGCTTGGTGGGTTTTCGAACATGTTTGTAAGAGAAAAGTCGTGCGACCTTACAGTAGTAGAGGTCGCACGGCTTCCACACACCTTACGATAATCGTACGATCGCGGGATTTCCCGCGATTATCACAAGGTGTGTGGGCACCTTAAGGAATGTGGTCTGCCACCCATTTGAAGTTGAATTTCAATTTGAGTATCTCTAGGCTCAGAGTAGGATCAGTGATATTGAGGGCTTAAGATTTTTGGAAATTTATTTTAATATTAGTTGTCTGTACTTATGAAGTTCCATCAACAGGTTAGGGAAAGATATTTCTGGTTTGGCCACAAAATAATAAGTTATCTATGTAAGCCTCTGCTTTATGCTGAGATGTTCAAGTCAGAAGAACTGAGATCAGGATTTTGACGGACAAGTCTGAGGGATGGTTTCGGGGGTTAAAATGCATAGCAATGATGAAAGGGGGCACCCTTGCCTGGCATCATTTTGTAACGGAAAGCAGGGGGATAATGCTTCATTGACTCTTACTGCTGCCGTAGGGTTGGATTATTAGGCGCCTATACACTAACCAGCTCCTCGTGTGGTTCTAAGCTAATGTGTTCAAGAGTCTTGGTGAGAAAAGGCCAACTGACCCTATCAAATACCTTCTCTACATCAGTGGAGAGAAGGCACAAAGGGAGGTTACGGATGCAAGATGGATGGATGGCATTTAAGACTCTGGTAGTGTTGTCTTCAGCCTCCCAGTTAGAAAAGAGGGCAACCTGGTCTGTGTGTATCAAGGTGGCCACATGGGGGAGTAGGCAGTCTAAAAGGGTCTTCGCATAAATCTTTAAATCAATATTTAGTAAGGAGATTGGCCTATAATGGGTGCATTGCGTGGCATCTTTTCCTGGTTTAGGAATTCTAGTAATGTGTACATGAAGAGAGTCCAGTAAGTAAAAGGGAAGCACCAGATCAAATAGATTTAAATGCTGAGGGGCTAGCACAGAGACAAAGGCTTTTTAATGGCCACAGGAGTACCTATCAGGGCCAGGAGCTTTACCAGGCTTCAAAGATTGAACTGCTTTGTGAAATCCTTCTGAAATTGGGGCTTCAAGAAGGTTTGATGCTGACTGAGAAAGTGTGGGGAGACT